AGAGAGAGAGAGAGAGAGAGAGAGAGAGAGGTGTCTGAACTGTACCAGAATGTGTGATGGAGACTATGGTATGGAAGAATCCAGGTAGGCCTTGGTCCCTCTTTGTTAATTAGAGGTCCTGGGGGGCCGTTCCCAGTTTTGACCTGCTCTAGCGCGGCTTCCGTTTTGTCAATCCAGCCCAGCCCAAGCCAGCGTCAGCCAGATTACGGCCTATTCACCCTCTGTCTACGAACCGACCGTTCTGCGGCTTACCCTCAAAACGTCCAGTCTAACAGTGTCGCGTACTGTGCTGTGTTCCCTGCCAGGACTGCACTTGCACATACACCGAGGGGCAGGGCCCAGTAGTGCTATGTTTCTACTCAGCAATCTGGATCCTGGCTGCTTGTAAGCGCAAGCATGGCACCAGTGGGGCCTGCTCCATGTTTCTCTAGCTGGGGTCCACTGCTACCCTAAGTGTGTGATTAAGGAGACTAGGGGTCTGGAATACAACACACTGTAGAACACAACAAACAAAGTGCCCCAAACTGTCGAACACAACAAAGCGCCAAAAACTGTTGAACACAAAAAGGCGCCAAAAAAAGAATGTGAAGTATCGAAGACATGTCAGTGAAAGGCAACATGCAATGTCCCGGTTGGTCCAAAATGCTGTGATATCTCTGTGGATAATTCTGTGTATACTTCTGGAAGTTCTGGGAATAATTACGTGGATAACTCAGTTGGTACACCGCCGAACTGTTGAAATATGAATCAGACCCAAGTTCAAGTCCAGATGCAACCAGATGAAGTTGATGAACAGAATATATAAAATGATCAATTGAATTTTAATTCTGAATGACGTTCTGAATTACCTGAGGCCATTCTCTGGATAATTCTGTGCATAATTATGAAACCAGGTGAGCTTGGTAGGTGGCGACAGTATGTTTTCGATAAAAAGGCAGGTGCTGGAACAATGGGGCCTCTCGACCGAGCAATCTTTCCCTCTTTTTCCAGACCGGTTCCCTTCCCAGGTGAGAAATACGAAGACTTACTCCCTCTGATACGCTTGCCTATCTTTTTTTTTTTTTTTTGATAAAAATTTCAAAAAATAATAAATTGTCCATTTCTTGATTTATGTGTGTCATCCTTGCACATGGGCCAAGCTAATCTCCTATGTATCATTCCAATATTAACAGATGTCCCGAAGTACGATACGTTCCCTTACCTTTCTTTCTTTCTTTTTTTTTCTTTTCTTTTTTTTTTCTTTTTTTTCCCCCGATGATCTTTCCGCAGGTCCCTATCATTCCCAAGACTCAGCTAAATTCTAAAACCAAAACTCGTCAAAACTCCAAGGAGCAGGAGAAGGAGAATCAGACCCTGCAATTCAGTGCACGGGAATGTTTTTTTTTTTTTTTAAGCTCAGTTTATTAAACTTTATTTGAACTATTATGGTATATGGGACTGTCAGGTTTCGCATTTCGGCATGCTTTTTTTTTGAGTGAGTTTTTCTCGTTGTTTTTTTTCAGCACTGTTTGCACAAAATCGAAATGTGTCTGAAGTTCGATACAGTATCGGTACCACCGTACTACCGTTGTTCTTTTTTTTTTTTTTTTTTTTTTTTTTTTTTAACGTTTTCTTCAACCTCGAGATCGCCAGATCATGCCAGGTGTGTCTCATTCCCTATATGCTATTTAATATTGGTGTGTGTCTATTTATCTGAGAGCATTAATCGTTGAAAAGGGAGAGATCGGCTGCGAGTTGTGGGTTTGGAGACGGGCGCAACGCTCAACGATAACAATAACAGTAACAACAGCAAGAAGAAGAAGAAGAAGAAGAAGAAGAAAGAAGAAGAAGAAGAAGAAAGAAGAAGAAGAAGAAGAAGAAGAAGAAGAAGAAGAAGAAGAAGAAGAAGAAAGAAGAAGAAGAAGAAGAAGAAAGAAGAAGAAGAAGAAGAAGAAGAAGAAAAAGAAGAAGAGCAGCAGCAGCAGCAGCAACAACAACAACAACAGAGGTGTGAGTTGTGGGTTGGTTATCTACTGAAAAGGGGGCTGTATTGGTGTTGGTAGTCATGAGAGAGAAAGTGGGGGCATACTCACACTTGAACTTTAATGCATGAATCTGACTTACGGCTAGAGCTGGATGCATCGGACTGCAAGAGCGTCCAAAGCTTGGTCTAGAAAAGGGCTAGCGTGAGTATGAGACAGGTGTGGAGTCTGCCGGCAACCTCAGATTTTCCTCCCAACAGACGAGTTGTTTCTACACATCACCATTGAAAACCACCCTGCGGTGAGGCTACCGTCTTCCCCCAAACGCAGCACGCTCATCCTGACTGTACCAGACTGAAAAGATAAATTGTATGCATTGATGATCAGGGTGCGTTGTGTTCGTGGCAAGATGGTGGGCGAATGGAACCTTTAAGATTCATTTTAGGAAGAACGGCGCTATGTGTGATGTAGAAGGCCAGATGTGCATACGGGACAACCATACGAAAGGCAAAACGGCCTCTCTCTGAAAGAGAGGAGTGGAGAGAGAGGCCAAAGAAATTATAGAAACAGAGGTATTAGGAGAATGGAGGCAAAAAAAAGAAAAAGGCAGAATGGAGGCAGAAAATCCTGTCAAACTTGGAGGCAGAGATGTGGAGGAGGAAGCAATTGCAAATTTGAAGTGGGAGTCCCTGAAGGAGTCCCTAGCACCAAAGTGGGAATCTGGGTACAGGAGTTAAACAGTGTGTAAACACTTACTAAGAACTTGGTAAAAACTAAAAACTTACTGAAAGTAGTAATACTAGTAAAAAGTTAAAAACCAATATTTTAGGGATGACCATGACCAGCTGGCCTAGCTCAGTTGGTACAATCTGGTACAGGAGTTAAAAGAGTGTGTAAAAACTTACTACAAAGTTAAAAACTTAGTAAAAAGTAGTAAAAAATTAAAAACTAATATTTTAGGGATGACCAGCTGGCCTAGCTCAGTTAGTATACACCCCTGAACTGAACTGTTGAAATACAGACCTGACTGAGTTCGAACTCCACCAGAAGCAGATGAGTAAAATAGTAAAAAAAATACTACAATTCGTAATTACCTAGGGCCGCTCAGTTCGATGATGATGTCTCAAGGGCTTCGCCAATTCTGAATTACCTAGGAGGCTAGGACCGGTCTGTTCGATGATGGTATCTCAAGGCGTTCGCCCTTAGGTAATAATAATAATAATAATAATAATAATAATAATAATAATAATAATAAAAATAAAAATAAAAAAGATATTTAAATCATATTTTACTATAATTTTAGGGATGCTGCACTCAGTTCCCAGCAGGCGGCGGTCCCTGCCAATAGAAAGGAGCCCTCCCTTCTTTTTTTTTTTTAAAACGGGAGTTTGGCACAGGTGGAGATTAAATGGAGATAGCCCTATTCTCCAATGACTTGGTGGTGGAGAAGGACGTGGAATGACCCTCCCCAGAATAAATATGGTGGAGACAGGGCCGTAAGGTCCTTTCTTTCTACCCCCCCCCCCCCCACACACACACCCACACCCACACACACACACACCACACACACACATGCACACAAAAGAAAAAGCAGATTGTGACTATTTGACACTGGACGTCTGGACAATAGGTAAATTGCAAGTCATCACAATTGCCCCCTCATTATGGGGACTTGCTCCTGTTGGTGCTGACAATTTCTGTGATATGCAATTGAGTTATTTTAACTTATTTATTTATTTGGACCGTTTGTGAATTTATGCGTGTCATCCTTGCGCAGGGGCCATGCTAATCTTCTTTCTCTGTATTGTTCCAATCCTTCTAACGGATGTCCTGAAGGGCACATGCAATTGAGTTTTGTTTTATGGAAGAAGAGAAACCGAAAGTGAGAACGGACTGATGCTCCCGAGAATGGATATGGAGCCAGGACCGTAAGGACCTGTTAATAAAAAATATAAATAAATAAATAAATAATTTAATAAATAAATAAATAATTTAATAAATAAATAATAAAAAAAGAAACCGAACGCGAGAAGTGCTGTGTCATCTGACAGCGTACTGAGTTCTGTTCTCTTTCCTGGTTGTCCTTGATGTTTCTTCTGCAGCTGCTGTCGTACTTACGACTTGCTCGGCTGACAGATGCCGCCAAACTGCCGCAAGTGGTATTTGATAAGGATCTCGTCATTGACCAGGTATGCATGTATAACAAGTTATTGACAACCCAACTCCATGTAATGTCAATACCCTACCAAAGGAGAGAGAGAGAGAGAGAGAGAGAGAGAGAGAGAGAGAGAGAGAGAGAGAGAGAGAGAGAGAGAGAGAGAGAGAGAGAGAGAGAGAGCATGGTTCCAGCCTTGATGAGCCTGGAAGTGTCTTCCTTTAGTCCTGCGGAGCACTGCTGCTGTGATGCATTGGTGAAGTTATGCAGCTCCATAGAAAAAAGCGAAGAAAATGAAGTTGCCTTTGCCAATCACCGACTCTGTGTCAGGAGAAAACCTGGCAAGTCACTCTCTGGTTAAACGAGGTCACTCTGTGGACTACTTAGGAGGAAGGCACCAAAACAACTTACATGAGCCTCTCTCTCTCTCTCTCTCTCTCTCTCTCTCTCTCTCTCTCTCTCTCTCTCTCTCTCTCTCTCTCTCTCTCTCTCTCTCTCT